AGGCGGGCTGAAGAGAGCTTCAAGCGGCACAGAAGAGCTACAAGACGGCCCAAGAGAGCCCCCAGGACGCCCGAGGGGGCCACCAAAGGATTCCTACATGGTCGGAGAGGGCCCCAGGCGGGCCCCGAGACGGGCTGAACTTCCCATGACGAGCCAAGCGGGACCCGGAACGGCCGAAATGGGTCCTCAGAGGGGCCAACAAAGGCCCCAAAGGACTCCAAAGGAAGGCCCGGAGAGGCTCCAGAGATTGCCACAATGCTTCCAAAAGGGCTCCTGGCACGCGTTCCAGTGGGCACCCGTGTACTGGGTGCGTTAAGAGAAGAGAGGAGGAGGACAAGGAGGAGGAGGAGGAGGAGGAGGAGGAGGAGCAGGAGGAGGAGGATGAGGAGGAGGGAGAGGAGGAGGAGGAGGTGGGGAGAGGAGGACGAGGAGGAGGAGGAAGAGGAAGAAGAGGAGGAGGAGGAAGAGGAGGAGGAGGAGGGGGAGGAAGATCAGGAGGAGGAAGAGGGGGAAGAGGAAGGGGAAGAGGAGGAGGAGGAGGAGGAGGAGTGACATTGTTCTTGTAATATTCTACTGTTCTATGATTCTCTGGTTCGGGGAGGGAGGCTGAGGACGAGGAGGGAAGGGAAACGCAGGATGAGAAGGGCACACCGAAGAGCAGAAAAGACAGGGAGGAGGAGGAGGAGGAGGAGGAGGAGGAGGAGGAGGAGTAGGAAGAGGAGAAGGAGGTGAACGAACAGGGATCCCTTTGTCAGGGAGATGCCGACGAGGAAAAACTTGAGTATCATATGATGGGAACAGTATGGGGACTGCAGTGGGCCAGGGTTGATGACGGCGATGACGCTGATGATGACGACGACTATATCAACGACGACGCCGACGACGACCAACAATAAGTTTATGATGCGGATGATGATGCTGAAACATACGGTGACGATGATGGCGATGGTGACCACGATGCTGATGATAATGGTGGGAACGATGATTGTTGTGATGGTGCTGGTGAAGGTGACCATGACCATGACGATGGCGATGAAGATGACGGAACAGAGGATGACAATGACGACGATGATCATGACCCTAGCCAGAATCCTGAGCTCGCGCGAAGCGCGCGCGATGGTTCTAGTGTCTGTAAACATGTATTCATTTTTTATATGCATATATATATATATATATCACCCTCTGCGCGCGTGTGCTAGGAAATTTGTTCTTGCGCACCGTCCACAGACTTGGGATACTGCGGGCTTCTGACGATCGACAACCATGAGCCATTGAGGGACACAGGCCACCGATTCTAAGCAAGTTTGTCATGTTGTAGCGAAACTACTTCGCCTTGCCTGCGCTTCGCCGCGCCATTCGATCCACTAGCTGCTCTGTCCTTGCATCCTATGCCGCCCACGATGAACGTTTGAGTGACCTGCACAAGCTTGTACGACGTCACAATGCGCAGTGTGCACTATGCTGCCAAGTGTGTAGAGAATCGATGCTGGCAACGCGCCGTCAACCGCCGATCGCGTTAGGGCCGCGTAGTGGAGGGCAGATTCACTTCTCAAAAATTCGGCGCGTCCGCTCCGAGTGGGCTGTTGTCGTCGAGCGCATTTTGGTCCAAATGGATAGTGGACACAATTTGTCCGTGCGCGTTTGCCAACGCCGCGCAATGGATGAGATAGATGTAACCGAATGTGCCGCTAGACGATAGTTGCCCGCCAAACTTGCTTTGTCATCAACTGTTGGAGATCATCCACTGTCTCCGCATGCAAATCGGATCGAATGTTGTCGCTGGTTTTCCTGAGCATGAAACTAAAGTCCGCGGCCGAAGCGCGGAACCATATCATATGCTTGCCATTTCATGTCCCGAACGCGCGGCAGGGCCAACAGGTTGTGGTCGTCGCCGCGCTCGCGGTCGTCAATAAGGGGTCGGCGGCGCCGACCGCAAGGCCTTCGGCCACCCAGATAGCATCAATCGTTGAACCGTTGCTCCTGGACGAATATTTTGCCTGTCGCGCAGCATGAATCTGCGGCACTCCAAAACATAGACGGGCGAAGGACCCACAAACTATGCAGTTGTGAATACTGTCGTTGCGGGTATCGCCTCTGGGAAATCTCATGTGACCATGTTGCATGCGAAGGGTGTGCCGACATGGGGCGGGGCCGCCACGTGGGCGCTGCCACGGGGCCTTCGGTGGAATCCACGATGGAACCGCCGAACAAGAGAGTGGTGCGCCGCAACGGGGCCAAGCCGCCATGGGGGCATTCGGTGGAGCTCCGCATGGTGCCACGAAGCGCTGTGGGCTCCGCACTCGGTGGGGAATTCGGTGGGGCATTCGGTGGAGCTCCGCATGGTGGGGGAACCGCATGCGAACGCCGCCGCTAAGGCCTCGGGTGGGGCCCCCATATGGGGGCACGAGACGTTGTGCTTGGCGGGGGGACCGCACGTGAATACAGCAACTGTGGCCTTCGGTGGAGCTCCCCTTGAGGACGCGAAGCGCTGTCCCAGCGGCTGCACTCGCATGCGGTTCCCCCGCCCGGCACAGCGTTTCGCGGCACCGTAAAGAGCTCCACCGAAAGCCCCAGCGGCTGCGCTCGCACGCGGTACGTTTCGCGGCCCCATGGGAAGCTCCATCGAAGGCCCCAGCGGTTGCACTCGCACGCGGTTCCCCCACCCAGCACGGCGTTTCGTGGCACCACAGGAACCCTCACCGAAGGCCCCAGCGGCTGCGTTTGCGCGGCCCACCGCCCAGTACAGCGCTTCGCGGCTCCATAGGGAGTTCCGCCGAAGGCCTCGCATGCGGTTCCTCCTGCCCAGCACGGCGTTTCGTGGCCCCGCGGGGGCTTCCATCGAAGGTCCCAGCGAATGCACTCGCATGCGGTTCCTCCGCCCAGCACGGCGTTTCGTGGCCCCGCGGGGAGTTCCACCGAAGGCCCCAGTGGCTGCACTCGCAAGCGGTTACCCCGCCCAGCGCAGCGCTTCGTGGCACCGCGGGGAGTTCCACCGAAGGCCCCAGTGGCTGCACTTGCATGTGCTTCCGCGGAGCTCCCTACGGGGCCACGAATGCTGCGCTGGGCGAAGGGGGCGCATGCTGATGCGGGCAGAGGCAAGGATTATGGCGCCCCGGAGAAGGCGAACTGCTAAAATCTTGTTTTGTTGGTAAATTTTGAACATGTGTGAAACATATGACTTCAGCGAAAACACGAAGTACAAGTGTGAAAACTATATCTTCTAGATATATGTACCAAATGTGACATCGGATGGGACCACGAACGGACGTGTGAATTCAACGGAGCCGCTCGAATGCCAGCGCCAACAACAATGGAAAACCACCGCGATAGCGTGAAACAGCGCTCCCTCAAATGACTCTGATCTCCCAACCTGGCGCGCGAATCTTCCCACCGCGCCCGCATCGCGTCGGCGTGCGCCTCGCCCCCACTTGAAACGGCCGCGCAGTAATCCCTTGGAGTGCGGGCCTTGTCTTCGCCGACGCCCGGCGGGCGAACGCAGTGATTGGCCGTTGCCCGGCGAAGCCGTTGACGGGGGGGTCGCCCGACGTTTCCTTCCCACTCCTAAGGCGGCATCGGTATCGGCATCGGCATCGGCCTTTCCCCGCGCGCCGACCGCCGACGACCCGACCGAAATTTCCGTTCAGAGGCCAGCCCTGCCAGCCCCACCGCAAGAACACCGCCACCCGCCCCGGCGACCCGAGCGCCACCATGGACCTCCAGTGCGCGCACATGCCAGCGGCAATCAAACTGGCGCGCGCAAGACCATCGCAGACCACGCAGCGTTGAAATATACCGCCCGTATGAAAGCAACAGCCCGCAGCCGGGCCAGAGGACCCGCGCTATGCACCAGCGCAAACGACAGACGACAGGCCAGCAGACAGCGTCGCGGTCGCCACGGGTGAGTTTCAACAGCCCACCCCTGGAGGCCACGACCACCGACAACTAGGGCAGCCTGGAAACGATCCACTGTGACAAAACGGCAAGCCCGCAGCGCGGAGCAGCACGTTTGGAGCGCGGCGTGCGAGATCTCGCCGCAACACCGTCTTCGAGAACTTGACTCCACGACGCCTCCAATCCGAAGATACGCGAAGTCTGGCACAGCTGCGCCTCGAGCAAGCACCAGGGCCCGGCGCGGCCACTGCTCGCGCGAGCCTCTGACCTCTGCGCATTCGCGCGTTCTTGTGGGCCCCCCGCGAGTTGCGCGCCGCGGCGTGCCGCTCGACGCACCACCCCGCGACGATTGCGGGCGGCAGCGCAAAATGCGACAGCGGTGGCGCGGTGCGCCAAGCTGCCTTGCGCGGCGGCGCGCCGGCCGCGCGCGGGCGGCAACGCGCTGTCAGCGGCGCCGACGCCGCGGGCCTCGCGCTCCGGGTGGGGCGCACTGGTGGCGACCACAACCCGCACGCGCGTCGCGGGCACGCCGCGCTCGAAACAGCGCGTGAGTGCGTACAAGGCAAGGACAGCGCGGCGGTCGCGCCGCGAGGCGCCGAGAGCCTCCGACGTCGGTCGTGGAGGCGTGGGAGGGGAGGGCGGTAGGCGGGGAGGGGACGATGGGAGGGAGGACGAGGTAGGCAGCGAGCGGGCGCGCGTCGCCGAGAGCCGGCCGCCATCGATCGAGGCATCGACGACCCCGCCAGGACCATGGGATCGCACAGGGCGGCCCCCGGGAGAAAGCAGAGCGCCCCAAGATGGGCTGGAGATCGGGCCCCTGGAGGACACCCCCCGCCACCAAACCATTGGAAACGTAGTGCAAGCGCTGCGCCCTTCGCTGGAACGTCCAGGGCGGCCCCAGGGCTTTCGCGCAAATGAATTTCCTCCTCCTCCTCCTCCTCCTCCTCCTCCCCTCCTCCTCCTCTTCCTCCGCCTCCTCTTCCTCCTCCTCCTCCTCCTCCTTCTCCTCCTCCTCCTCCTCCTCGTTCCTCTCCCAAAATACCCTTACCCCCCTCACCCCTCCTCGTCCTCCTCCTCGTGGGAGGGAGGGCCGCCCCCCGGGGGAGCACCACCCGTTGGAGTCCGGGGCTGTTCCCTGCGTCAGGCTGCCGGCCGAGGCCTCGGGCAGCGGCCCCGTGGCGAGCTCGGAGCCGTCGGACACGCACGACCTCGTGGGCGGGGGCATCCGCCGCCCCAGGCCTCCGAGGATTGGGCGTAACGTATTGGGAGGCGACGGGGGTGGGGGAGACCGCGAGGTCGATAGAGTGGCGATGAATGGGAGGCGGTCAATGGGCGTCCCTTAGTGGGGAGCGATAAACAGGGGATCAATGGGGGGCCTCTAGAAGGCCACCTTTGGGGGTCCCAAAGGGCCCCTTTAGAGGCCCTGAAGGGCATTCTTTCTGCAGCACTCGCTGCACCCCCATTGATGGCCACCCCATGACGCGAAGCCCACGAGGGAACGACTTTGTTAAAGCCGCAGTATTTCATCGATCTCGGCCTCCAGGGCCCATGACTAGGCCCAAGAGCAGCCCTGGGGAGAGGGTTGGGACCTCTGGGGCCGCGGATTGAAAAAATGCGCCGACCCCTTGGGGCTCATCGGCGTGTGAGACGCTTCCCCTCCGCAAACCCCGTCGGGAGCCTGGTCCAGTCGAGTTGGAGCGGGGTGAGCCTGGGGACTGGGGGGCCCCAAAACAGGCCCAGAGGGCCCCAAGAGGCCCTCGGGACCGTCCAAGAGGGCCACAAGCTGCCGAAAGATCGATGCAGAACGCTCACGCTAGCCTCCAGACGGCCCAGGAGGCCCCCAAGACGCCGCAAGAAGCCCCCAAGAGGCATCCTAAGACAACCTCAAAGAGCAAGCATCGTCTCATTCCCTCGGGGAAGCGTGGATGTTTAGCACATTCGCCACTTGGGTGTTCACAACGTCTAAGACAGCCCAAGAAGCCATCCAGATCGCCCCAAGACAACCCAAGAGGCCCCTCAGAGGGCTCCCAGACGACTCAAGAGGGCCCCCAAACCGCTCAAGAAGCCCCCAAGACGGCTCAGGACAGCCTCCGGAGAGGCCGCAGAGGGGGAACCCAAACGGACATCTCGAGCCTTCGATCCAGAAACGCTCCCCAGTTGCCCCAAGAAGCCACCAACAGGCCCCCAGGGAGCTCCAAGAGGCCCCATAAAAGCTCCCACGAGGCCCCCAGGAGGCCCCAAGAGGTTAAAAGCTGCCTCCCAAGCGCCTCCGAAACGCCTCCCACGAAACCCCATCTGCTATCCAAGTGGTCTCAGACCCGCAGCCCAGGCACGGTGTCGGGATGTGCCGAAGGCCATTCGATGCTCCGCCCCCTGCGCTTGTCACACGGGTACCTGGCGTGCTGGATCATACTGCCTTGGTTTTGGTTCTCTTTGAAAAGAACTCCCCCGGGTCTTCGGCGCGTCCCGCGGGCCACCCTGAAGGCTGCTCGGGAGGCGGTTCCAAAGGTTTTTCCTGGTCCATATGGCTCCGAGATGGCCCATGGCGGCCTCCAAGACGGCCAACCTTGCCTCCAAGTTCACCCAAGATGGTCCAAGTCGACCTCGAAGACGGCCCAAGAGAGTCCAAGATGTATCCAAGTTCGTCCAAAACGCCTCCGAGACGGCCAAAGACGGCCTCCAGATGACGGCAGGCGGCCCCAGAGGCCCCTAAGAGGCCTCCAAGACGGCCCAAGAGGCCTCCAACAGGTCCTCCAGGAAGGCCCCAAGAGGCAAAAATCATGAATTTCACATCGGTTGTTGCAGGATTCTGGCATTTGCTTATGTTCGGCTTCCCACGGCCCAAGAGCCCCCAAAGATCGCCCCAAAAACACCCAAGAAGCCTTCAAGATGGCCCCAGAACGGCCCAAGGGGCCCCCCAGACTGCAATTCCGAGGTTGAGCAAGCCTGAGCATGAGTGAGTGAGTCCAGCAGGGTGGCAGATGTTTCATATTTGCTTCCATATTCCATATTGTTGCTTGGTTTCAGTTTGTGATTGATTGTGTAGTTTGACATGTGTATTTTGCCTGCTACCGTCTCGGCTCTAGCGCCCCCTCGCTTGTGCTCAGAGGCACGGGAGTTTAGACGCCCTGTGAGCAGGGCCCGAACTTGAGGAGTTCAGACAAAAGATCAGAGATCAATACCGCTGCGCAATTTCCGCCGACGACTCGCATGGTAGCAGGAGCACGTGGTTGACACGGAGAGGAACTACGATGACCGAGGATCATCGAGGCAAGGTGCCAAGCTGGGATGGGGATCCCAAGACTTGGCGGACATACAGGCGGAAGGCCCTCCAGTACCAGGAGGGCACCAAGAGGGAGGACCGGTACCTGTGCGGCCCGCGGCTGGAGGCGAAGCTCACGGGCCGGGCCGAGATCGCGGTCGAGCGCTGCAAGGCTGGGTGGCTCTCCAGACCAGATGGCGTGGAGAGGCTCCTGGCGTGGCTGGAGCGCAGATGCTCTCGACAAGCCGTGCCAGACGTAGGCCAGGAGCTCGAGACGTTCTTGATCAAGACGAAGCGCCGCAAGCTCGAGCCAATGCAGCAGTGGACGGACCGCTTCGAGACAGGGTACCAGTACCTCAGACGCGCGCTGGCACACGCGCGCTGGGACACACAGTCCCGGTCCAGGTCGCTCCAGCGTGGAAGTGGACAGGGCGACCATACCGCTGGGTCGAGGTCGAACGTGGCTGGCCATTCGAGGGTAGCGAATGGACATGGGAGTACACGGACGGCCTGCCAGACGATGAGAAAGAGGACTCACACCTCTGGAGCGCTGCTGACCAGGATGCGGACGCCGAGGAGGAGCTCGGGGACATGCCAGAAGTGTTCCCGAGCCTGGTCCTGGGCTGGTTGATGCTCGTGCGGTCAGGCCTTGACTCGCGCGAGCGGGCGGCCATCATGACGGCAACCGGCGGCTCGCTGGAGGTCAACACCATCCGGGAGAAGCTGATCTCGAGCTGGGAGGACGATGACCTGGCGGAGCGTGATGGGCACTCACGGTTCCCGAAGGCGTACACGGCCCAGCTCGGAGAAGATGATCGCACATGGCTTGACGGAGATGAGGCACCAGTTGCGAGCAGCTTCGCGGCCGACATGGAGAACAGCGAGTGGCAGGAGGAAGAACCAGGCCCAGAGGAGGCGAACGATGATGACATCGAGAGCTACTTGGCGGCTCAGCAGGAGGAGGCGGAGGCGCTCGCGGCGATCCACACCGCCCAGCGTACCCTCCGCCAGGCTCGAGAAGCTCAGGCAGACAGCAGGCTGAGCAGGGGCTTCTACAGGGGAGGTCGGCCAGCGCCGAAGGGGTCAGGCAAGGGGTTCCCAGCGGGATCACGCCGACCACTTCCTCCCCAGGTAGGAGGCAAAGGCAAGATCTTGCCACCAAACAAGGGGCAGAAGAAGTGCGCGAAGTGTGGAGGACCCCACTGGGCTCAGGACTGCCCGGACCGTCATGACCCACGTCTACGGCCTGGAGCTGCAGGCACGCCAGACGCGAGCGCGAAGGTGGCAGAGTGCAGGAAGGAGCTGAAGTTCAACCTCGTGGCCTCGCTGGTCGCCGAGCAGGAGCCCCGGGAGTCGGAATGCGAGGCGATGTTTGCGGACCAGGCCATCCTCGAGGGCAAGGGCATCGTCGACTTAGGGTGCACGGACGCCATGGGTGGTGAGCGCGCCCTGGACATCGTGGCCCGCAAGAACTTGGAGAAGTATGGCGACACCAGGCTGCTGGACGTGAACCTGGACTACAGGCCAGTCTACAGCTTCGGGAATGGCGAGAAGGAGCGCGCCTACGGACAGGTGAAGTTCGGCATCACGGGCGCGGGCGTGGAAGGCGACATCGCCATCAACGGTTTCTCGAAGGATGTCCCGATCCTGGTGTCCAAGAAGGTGCTGAAGAAGCTCGGGGCCGTCGTGGACTGCGAGACTGGGGTGGCCGTGTTCGTGAAGCTCGCACCGGACATCCCCGTGCAGCTGGAGGAGTCACCTGACGGAGGCCACTACTACCTGAGCCTGGTCGACGACTTGCTGGAGCAGCGCGTCAAGGACCAGAGCCAGCTGCGGAACTTCAAGACCATCTGCGAGAGCATGCGTGAGTGGGACCGCCAGCCCGTGGCCGCAGTGTGCCAGGGGCCGGACAGCAGCTCGGATGACCGGGCTGAGCAGTTGGAGCGCTACATGTATCCATCTCAATCTGATCACACCATTGTCACCGATGTGTCTCCAGTTGCTTCAGCAGGTGCGTGCAGAGGCCAGTCGTGTGGCCAAGCCCGCAGCATTCATCACAACAGTTGGCCACAGCCTCAGAAGGGTCCCGCAGTTGAAGGCAGCGACCGTCCCAGTGTCCAGTCTCAGTTCCAGCTGAACCGGGCATCCCAAGTGAACCAGGGGGTCCCGCTGCAGATCCATAGCCGTTCGGGCTCGAGCCAGGCAAGTTCACTCGAGTCGACAGCGACCGACGGCATCCAGCCACCCGCAGTTCCAGATCCACCAGATCTTCCATATATTCCATATTCCAGGCCGAAGGCCGTCGATGTCAGCAAAGAGATGCGCTGGGGTAACATCATCCGCAGAGCGGTGCAGCTCACCTGCGCCAGGATCGCATGCTCGTGCGGTGCGACCACTCCGGATGCCAACGTCTCGCAGTGCAGTACAGGGCCTCTACAAAGCGGAGGTGCTTCACTTACTTCAGGAGCTTGGCCTACCGCGCAGTCCGGCCTGGGGCGTGGACGAGCTGAAGCAGGTCCTCAAGGAGCACATGTTTCCGAAGGACGAGACGCCAGTGCAGATGGCCATGAAGGGTCTCAGCTCGATGAAGAAGTCCCAGCTCTTGGCGAAGGCAGAGGAGGTAGGCGCCCACGTGACACAAGGCATGACGAATCCGTCACTCAAGCTCTCGATCCGCAAGGCCATCCTCATGAAGCATACCCCGGAGCCGACCGACTACATGGGCTTCGGGAAGCACGGAGCCATGACCTACCAGCAGGTTCGGAGCCAGTACCCATCCTACGCAGCCTGGTGCCAGAAAGAGGCGAACCAGGAGAGCAGCTGGGAGCTGGCCCGGTTTGCCTCATGGCTCAACGAGCAGGAGATCATCGACAAAAAGGCCGGGGTGACCAGGGATCCGAAGGAGGTCCCGAGAGAGCCGGACAAGGCTCGAGGGGGCGCGAGGTC